GCCCTTAGAGAATTCATTTCTACATCTGGCTTCCATAATATCCTGTAGCAATGAGTTTGATTCTTAGGGAACTACCCAAAATAATTGCCAAATATTTTTTTTCTCAGTGATAATAACTAAATTAAGAGTCTGTCTTTAGCATATGTACATTGAGGGATTTTTCTATTGGCTGAATTACATCAGAATGTCTACTAGTCAATCGTGTAAAATCTTTACAAAAAATCTTTTCAAAGAGGTTTAGATTCTGCTGTCCTGAATGATTTTATGTCACATTTATGTCACATTTATGTCACAATTATGTCACATCTTGATTCTTCTTCATATCATTTATGAATATAATGAAGAGACTGGACCTCAGCACAGCCTTCAAGAGACATCATGAAAAGTTGAGAGGTTTTTTTCCTCCTCTTTTTTCCTGTGTTCTTATTCCACAAGAAAAATTACATTTTTATACCATTGCAGACCCATTTCATAAGGAAATTTCAGTCAGGGAACAAAAGTTAAAATGAAATATCTTTTCCTCAGTGAAGTTAAATGTATTTTAAAACACTGAACATTTTCACTGACAAGCAAAAGCACCTTTGCCAAAGTTAAATATCTCTGAAATTTTCAAAGTGATTTATATCTATTTAGTGTCTGTATTAGTCACTTTTCCTAGACTAAAAATTTTGCAGAAATAGGATCTGAAAAGAAATCTTCCTAGCACTCATGCAACTGGAACTTTTGAGATACTTGTGGGGAAAAAAGGCATCATACAGCAGACAAAGCAATAAGAGAAGTATGGAACTCAGTAAACAGATTAATATATTTCCAAAATGCTGTCTGCTGATCACTGCTAGTCTTAGGAGACTGACCGCAGAACCATAATAAAAATTGCTTCACTTATCTCATCTTTAGAGTGTTTTTAATTACATGTTCAATGATAAGGTTACATAATCTTCACAAGAAATAATGGAAGCTGTCCTGTGCTTTAAAAAGACTGCTTTAAAACTACTCTCCCTCACACATGTTAAATCTGGAGTAATTTTAGTAACTGAGAACAAATTTCAGCTTCCTCATTAAGGCATATGCTCTCTGAGAAGGAAATCACTGAAGCCATTAAGTAAGATCTCCGCAAAGCATACATCTCATCATGTATTTTCACAGTCATGATATTAATAAGTTGCATGGCTGCTTGTAAGGTAGAAAAGTTTTTCAGACTGACCCTTCTTTCTTGGACTAGTTCTCCAACTAATAAAAAACAATGATCCTTGCCTTCAGTTCAAACCCATATTTAATTCATGAAGGCATATTGTTACTGTATTTTTAGGTAATATCATCATAGAATCGCAAAATGGTTTGACTTGGAAGGAAGCTTAAAGACCACCTAGTTCCAACCCCCCCACCACAGGCAGGGACACCTTCCACTAGCCCAGGTTGCCCAAAGCCCCGTCCAGCCTGGCCTTGAACCCTTCCAGGGAGGGGACAGCCACAGCCCCTCTGGGAAACCTGTGCCAGAGCCTCACCACCCTCATGGGGAAGAACTTCTTCCTGATATCTAATCTAAATCTCCCCTCTTTCAGGTTAAAACTGTTACCCCTCATCCTATCCCCACACCCCTGATCCAGAGTCCCTCCCCCCTTTCCTGCAGCCCCTTTCAGCCCAGGGAGGCTGCTCTAAGGTCTCCCCGGAGCCTTCTCTCCCCCAACTCTCCCAGCCTGTCCTCACAGGGGGTGCTCCAGTCCCCTGAGCATCCTTGTGGCCCTATATGAACATGACTTTAACCTAATCCTTTTCTCACAGTAAGAATTAAAGAAATCAAAGCCCAAAATTATTGGTACTCTTATTGACATTTAAGTATCTGTTAAAATACTGTTACACATACAGAAAGGTAACACACATACTGACCACTGGAGCTCTTCCTACCTGAAAAAGACCAGATATTCTGCAAGAAAGGCAAGCAGTTGTCCTCACTATATTTTTGCATTCCCATGACTCTACAAGGGTAGTGAACGTCCTCAGCTGTGCCTTCAGTAGTCCATGTGTGTTCAGAGAAGTTGTCCACAGGGTTAATCACATGAAAAATATCTAAATGCAAGTGATTTCAGTCAAATCCAGAGATCATTTCAGCTAAGCCAGTAAAACCCAAGGCAACTCACACAAAGTGAATTTTCATAGTTCAAATCACTGTGACAAGAGTTATATCCTTGTCCTGTGTTGTTTAACATCTTTGTTGGTGACATGGACAGTGGGATTAAGTGCATCCTCAGCAAGTTTGCCAGTGACACCAAGATGTGTGGTGCAGTCAACAAGTTGGAAGGAAGGGATGTGCCATTCGGAGGGACCTGGACAGGCTGGAGAGGTGGGTCTGTTCAGTAAGGCCAAGTGCAAGGTCCTGCACATGGGGCAGGGCCATACCAAGCACAAATACAGGCTGGGCAATGAGTGGATGCAGAGCAGCCCTGAGTAGAAGGACCTGGGGTTATTAGTAGATGCAAAACTGACTGTGAGACAGCAACATGCCCAGCAGGTCGAGAAAGGGGATTCTGCCCCTCTGCTCCGCTCTGTGAGACCCCCTGCAGCACTGGGTCCAGCTCTGGGGGCACCAACAGCAGAAGGACACGGACCTGCTGGAGCAGGGCCAGAGGAGGCCATGGAGATGCTGGGGGGGCTGGAGCACCCCCTGTGAGGACAGGCTGAGAGAGTTGGGGGGGTCCAGCCTCTCCCTTCCAACCCAAACCATTCTATGATTGTGTAATTCATCAAAACAACACAAATGCAGAAAATATGAACCTCAGATAATAAGGAAGTGTTCTTAATAATACAAACCAGACTCTAAACTGCAACCAGGCAAAATATTATAAACTGTCAAGTAAATTCCTCTTAAATATGGATTTGAAGAATGATGGATTTCACACCAGGTGCTCCATGCAGGTTCAGGGCTAACTTTGATGTATGAACAAAACAAGTCTGGCACAGCAGACTGCTGTGAGGATGCAAAACACTTATGACCCTACTGTGTTTAAGGCCTGTGTCACAGTCTGGTTGCTGTGACCGAAGGAAGAGCCAAGCATGAAGTGCAAAAGGCTGCGCCAGAAGAAAGGGGAGCACACCTAGCTGCAGCCAGCCCAGCCTCCTCAACTACAAAAGCAGCAGGCTTGCCTCTGCAGAGCAGAGTACTCTGTTCCCACTCCAGCATAGTCTGTTCCGCTGATCTCCCCCAGCCTCTGCTAGCTCTCACTTCACAGCCTTAGGTCAGGAAAGTTCATTTTTGCCTGTAGTGCTGAGAAGCCTTGAACTGTCTCTGCGTGTATTTATGTGCAGTGAGGTTATTCGTGCAGCTGTTCTGCAGAAACCTCTGGTGACTTCCGTTTTCTTGAGCACACGCTCCACAAGGTGGGTGCCATAAGGTCCTACTTCACCCGTGAAACAGGGACTGGGAAAGAGAGGACCTACTCGGTTTACAGTTCAAGCTGGGAACTTTGGAAGGAGTGAAACTCAGTAAGCAATTATCTGTTTTAACATACAATATTTAATCTATTGAAGAATGACCTATCTGCAGTCTGTGCAGTTCCTCCTCCTTTTAACAGGCTGGAAACTTTCCTCCCCCTCTATAATCCACTCAGCCTAAAAAACTAAGAAAAAGATTCTCCATTGTCTTCTCAGTACTAAAAAACATGTGGACATTCCCACATCAAGACAGGGAAAGAGAAATCAATCAAAAGAAATAAATTAAACATAAATATATTAAGCAAACTCAGTAGTAAATCATGATATGACATGTATATCTTTCAGTCCAAGTATTACAAAGGTTTTACAGCTCATGAACAAACCTGCACACAGTCAACTACAGAAGAGTCTGTGTGGGGTTTGGCAATATTTGGCTATTTGGCATTATTTTGTGTGTTAAGCACTGGAAGAAGGTATCTCAGTTACATTTGCAGATTATATCAGACTGAACTGGAGTTTTTAAGGAAGGACTCAAAGTTTAGAAGATCTCTACAACCACAACGTTTGTCTGAAATAAGTAGAAGACAAGGCAACATAAATAAACAGTAAAAATATCAGACATAGATAAAACCAATCAACTGTGTAAATAGAAGATAAGTAGTGACTGGCTAGAGATCAGTTATGTAGGCAGGAGCTGGGGATTGTCCTGGACCACAGCTGAACATGAGTCAACGGTGCCTCACTTCTGGGAGACAGACACCCTCAGGACTGCCAAAGATGGGACACATGAAGTAATCCCCAAAACCCACTCTGCCCTGATAAGTGTTCAGATGAAGCATTGTGTCCATTTTTGAGGACGATGCTTTGAGGAAGACATCATCCAACCAGTGAGAGCCCAGAGGACAACTCTGCGATCCCTGTAAAGCACAGCCTGTTGAAAGGACGGGGAGAAATAACGCTACATAGAGAAGAAGGCAGAAAACAGAATAACATGGCTACAACAGTGTAATGTCTACCATAGAAAATCCCCTTACATGTAGGAAAAATAGTTAAATCCAGCCAATGAAAATGTTAACTGGGCAATGGGAAAACTAATAAAAGATAAATTAATGAAATCCTAACATAAATTGACTAAGCTTCATCTCATAAGGATGTTAAAAATTAGTTGAGACTAATATTACTGGAAAGGGTTTAAATACTGTTTAGTTAGGAGATGGACTAGCTGATTTTTGCCACCCAGGCTTTATGAGGAAAGTTCACATTTCTGCATCCTCTGGCTAAGACCAGAGGGACAAGTTGGAGAAGTTGAAAGGTGTCTTCCAAAAGCAGATTCCACAGAAAAGTTGCCTTGTGTATGTCGAATATCAACATTTATGTGAAAAATAGATCCTTCAAATATTTTCACATAAATAAAACACCTTTTCAAGTGATTTCTGGGTGAATGGAAAATAAGCAGGCCAGATGATGGCTGAACAATGACAGCGGATGGGGATTTAGAAAAATATTCTTTATTATATTGCAGTGTTCAAGTGGCTTTTTTTTTTTTTTTTAACTACTTCTTGACCATTTACCAGATGCCACCATGAGATGATACAGTCTATGAAACCCGCTGTTTAGGAAACACAACAGCGTAGACTTACACCACATGTGAACCGCAGTGGCAGCTGCATCAATCAAGATGCATATTCCTGGGTATTTGTACTCTTTAGTGTTTAAAAGGAACTGGCCTCTGTGATTCTCAACACCCCAAACACAAACAAAGCTGTAATAATGCACAACTTAATGAAAGCAAACTCTGTATAATACACACATACCCTGAAACTTGCAGGGTCTTTCAAGAGAAATTCTTAGCTCAGCCAAAATATACAGACAAAAGAAGAGGTTTAAATCCCTTCCAGACGCGGAGGCATGAGACACAAGGATATGTTCTATTTATTTAACAAGCCAGAGCTGGAGTAAGGGCCCTCACAACACAATTACAGTGGTAACAATAAAAAAATACAGCAAACCAAGTATTACAACCCATGAAAGATGAAGCCAGCATTAGGATTATGGAACCTGCACACCCAGACATTTTAATACCTACGCCAGACATAGTGCTGCATGATAATATGAACACAATGAAACACTAGAAATCTAAATCCAAGGAACAGATGGAAAGGGAAAGATTCTATGGTAAAACTACATTTCATTGAAGGTTTAACTCCCAGCTTCATGTAGAGCAGCCATCCATTAGAAGTCACCCTCAATTCATACTCCACAGCAGTTTGGAAATACTGCTTTTTCAATTCTAGATGTGAGGCAATGAAATATTAGATCCTTCTCTCATAGAAAAGATGGTGTATTCCTTGGATGATGTTGAGATTTCCTCTGTGGAGACAACATCCACATGGCATGGTAAATATGTCAGGAAGGGTTGACTGAGGCACATGTACAGGATGAATGCATAAAGACATTGCCCAAAAATATCTTCAGAAGTCAAGGCTCCCATGCAATAGAAACTCTGCTGCTGTGACACAGGATTTTACCCACAACTTTTTCACAGGGCCCTCTGTCAAATCCAGAACTAGAAACAGAAAGCAACAACAAAGGTAGGCCCAAACAACACTTATGGTTAAAAAGCAGCTGAGAGAAATTAAAGTAATGATCCTGCTTGTTCCTACAGGATACACAGAGGTTTTTCCTCAGAAATAAGAATCATAGAACCATACATCAAAAATCACATAGAGAACTGACATATCAGAATTACAGTCTTTGGTAGCTTGGCAAGACCTGAAGAACAAGGATCTGATGGAAAACTAGTGCTTTAGATGTTGGATTTTGCTTTGTAGAACGCAGGGAAGGCATTTACACTGAGGCAGAGACATTAACTCCGGAACAGCCACTGGTTGTTGTCACTCCTGTAGGATTGCTTTAAGATCCCTTTTAAAAGGTAAATGCCATAATCCCTAACGGTGTCCCATTTTGGCCTATTCTTGTGTTATCCTTGTGTCTCACAAAAACTTATAGGCATAATGGGTCAAATCACATAGAAGAGGATAAACTATATCATGGGAACCTGAGAGTTACTGTCTTCTGTTTGAAAAGGAAGCATTTGACAGAAATAATTTTAAACAGCATACCAAAAAAAAAAAAAAAAAATTTGAAACACAATATGTTTGTGATTGAGAATTTGGTTCCAGGTATGGTTTTCTTGGTAATAGTAACATTTTAACACTCTATGTGTAGAGACTTGCTTTAAACAGACTATGTCTTGAATTGATCAGCACAGATCTAGAAACAGCAAGAAAGACAAGTAAATTTGTTTGTTTCAGAGAGCCAGCAGAAACCAACAGCGATAGTAGCTGCTCTTCTCAGTGATGTTCATGCTGGACGGAAGGCTCCACACAGTCACAGTAGTCTCATGTCTCAGCTGACAGCTGGGTTACGAAAACATTACCGAGTGATTGGGAGGTTTGATGGATCTTGGTTTGAGTGGCAGTTGATCCCATACCTGATTCTACAGACAAATAAAGCAAGGGAGGGGTTCATGCTGAAGCAGGCCAATGTTTAAAACACCCTGAAGGTAGAGAATCTCATCAGGGTGAGTACCAGCTCAGAAATCATTAGCATGTGGCACACTGTAGCAACTCAAATGAGTCAACATTCATCATAGAAAAGCCCGCTGCTGTGTCTACACATTTAAAAACCATGTAAAATTGTACAGGGAGAAGATTTGGCCTCCCATCTCTCCATGATTTTTTCTACTCCTCTCTTTATTCAATTGCTTTATATGTTTTATGTTCACTTACTACTGGAGATCGTTCCTGTAGAAGCAATGGGTCATGCTGTTAAATGAAGCCCATGTACAGGTTTGTCTTTGCAGTACCAAGCCTTCCACTAACACTGTTTTAATCAACGGGGAGAATTTCCTCTTTTCTACTGGTCAGCACCAGACCCAAGGAAGATATAAACTCCATGTACCCTAGAGATCAAAAGAGCTCTTTCAAGAGGAAGAACAGCGGATAACTGTAAAGGAAGTTACAGCTGTTTGCCATTTAATGAAGTTAAATGCATGTGTAAATGTTTATAGACTCCAGCCTGAACTTAATTTTTTTAGAATCAAGACTTTTGCAACATAATCCAATACTCCACTATTTTTCCTGGTGGATTGCTGGCTGTGCATAATTCCATAATGCTTCATGCATCTGAACAAACTGAAACACCCTCCTACCTACCTAGCTCACATGAGTGGTATAGTGTTTTGTTCCTGAAAATAACCTTTATGCAAACCATCCATACTAACATGATTGGTTCCTTTTTCAGTCCAACCTTTACCCTTCTCTCTCCTCAATATGTAGTTATTAGATACTCTTTGAAAACATCAATAGCAAGAAGAAGGAATCCACTCACATTTCTGGGTAGGGGTCAAACACTACTTACGGATTGAATAAATGGTTTCCTCGAAGCAAGGCAAACTTTCAGTCTCTCATCTGGAAAATATTATGCCAGCAGAAGCTCAGGATCAACTATTACCTGACGAGTCTGAAGCTGTTATCTGTTGATTTTTACTCTTTCGGGTAGGGGAGGAAGCAATATATACATCTGAAAACAAAGAGTTTAAAATAAAGTCTTTGTCATCAGGTGAGCATAAAAGTCAGAGGCAATTTACAAAACACCGTAGAAACCTGATTTATTTTACTTATATTTAGGGAAAAGAGAGACTCTTTTACTAGTGTGGGATTGTTCCTTTCCTCCAATCTCTAAACTGTTTGTTCACCCTAGTGAACCAACTTCATGCTCACTAAACATAAGCAGCCTTACAGAAAGACCTCCAAGAAACACCCACTGGCTCCCCTGCATCACTGCTTGCTGGTATCCCTGCAGACATGCAGCTAGAAGAATTTACATAATAGCTTTGAGATTAGAGGCATTTTATGCTTGAGGAATCAGAGTGGATAGCAAGCAGTGCTGGGTAAATGTCTATAATTAAGTAATAATGATGTATGTTATCTGAGTAAAGATCACAGTAAATTTCTTTCCACAAATGGCTGATTAATCCCAGTTAGAGCTGCTACAGAAAAATCAGATGGGTCCCTGTTTTTTCTATTATATCTCACTCTTGGCTTCTCTCTTAAAGCTTTTCTCCACTCTGCTTTCTTGTGATTCCCTTGCCACTGTGTGTCAGAGCCCAGGAACTCTGTTTCTGGGCAAGGAAAACAGTCCATCATTCATCTCCACTGGCTCTAGCAGCGAAGAATTGCTAGCTCCTACAGTGGCACTGGATATTAATGGCATCCTTGTAATAGAGAAGGGGAAGCAATTGACTCTCAACACAAGCTGCATTGAAAGGACTGTTGCAGCATTTACTTCTCAAAGGACGAAATATCTCTGAATGTCAATGGCCCCCATGCAGCCTCCACCTCTGTCTCATTGACCTCCGGGCAGGACAGACAGTGGTAGGAGCAGGGAAAGTGCTACCCCAGCTCACAGACTTGGCAGAGATCCACATACAGGCTCAGCATGACAAGCTGTCAGACCAATAAAATGTTTTGACCTTGAACTCCCCACCAGAAGGCAGGAGAGTGGCATTGCCATCACCGGCAGCCCTGTCCTCTAAATTCAAGGCACAAATCTCTAAATGGTTTACCGGCACTCACACAGCAATGTGCCAATCCCAAAACAATCAACCAAACCCTGCAATGAAATGCTTCCCCTCGTCCACCCCCTCTCTCCTCCCTGCTTGCCCCATGAAACAAAACACTCCTGTTTCTCTTTCTGTCAGACCAGAAGACTACAAGACCCATATTTAAACTCAGATAAAATAAAAGCATGTCCCTTATGGCCAAAGTGTAAGATGTCATTTAAATAAACTTTCACAAAAATCACAAAGTGCTCTGCTATAAATGAGTGATTCTTAACGCAGCCAGTGATCAACAAACTCACTTCCTAATTAACTGTAAGAGCGTAATGAGGAACAGGGCGTCCTTTGTTTTGCCAGCCCGTGTGAACTCCAGCCACAAGTCCCCAGACTCTCCTAACTCCTGCATTCGGAGCTTGTAATTAGTACATAAGGAACCAGGTACTACAGCAGCAGCCCCTTTGACAGTAGTCCCATTCACAGCCAGCCAGATGTGAAGAGCGTTCAAAGGAGGCCGACTGACTCACATATTGCGTGGTGTTGTATGACACTATAATCTCTCGTTTTCAGCCCTACAATCAACAGGCACTGTCATTTTTGATGCATTCTAATTAGCTGGTAAGGTTTACAGAAAAGTTGAGAGATGCAAGAAGAGCTACTGAACTGTCTGGTGGAGGGCAGGTTGGTCAGTGTGTCTAATAGTTCCCAAATGACACCCAGCTTCATTAGCAGCAGAGGTTTTCATGCTGGTATGATAACAATTGGATCGTGATGTGTGCAATTAATTTAAGGACCTTTCAAATATGCCTCTTTTCAATATTAGCACACAAAATAAAAAGAAAATTGGAAAAATGCACACAGAAAAAGATCACGATGAACAAAAGCAAACCTCCAGCAGAGGCATGAGGAAGTCTCCAAGGGGACCTCACTCAAACATCCCCACCAGCTATCCCTCTCTGAACAGTGAGACACTGTTCATTCAGTTCTCCAACCAGAAAATCCAACCTCTGTGGCAGCAGACCAGATTCAGAGGTCAGGAGCCACTGTTATCTCCCTTGCGGAGTGTCTTGGATGAGCTCAGTATCTTCATATGGACTGATGCCCAAGAGCAAAGGGGCATGTCCCCTCCACCAGTCAGTAGAAGGTAGTGGTAGAAGTTTAAAAGTGATAGTCTTATTAACATTTTTGCCTGTAAACAGCTCCTCTGAAAGAAAGAAAACGGATTCCTCCTGTATCTGACAGTTTTACTGTCCTCCAGGTGAGACGGCATAGAGAATGCAATGTGTGTTCAAAGCCCCATCCCAGCCAGACAACCAGCAGCTTTCTGAAAACAATAAAAATATTTGTAGAGCAATGCTGTGTTGCAGCACTTAATGAGCAGAGCAACTCCATTCAATGATTTGCATAAGCACCTGTATGAATACATGTTTAGTACGGGCTTACAAAGAGCTGTTACAGAAAGGTTTGTGCAGCCAGCTTGCCTCTGTCAGGTCTGGTCTGAGAAGCATATAGACACAGAGTATAAGAGAATAGCAGGTGAGCTATAGATAATTACTGAGCACCATCAATAAATTATGAACTGCAAATGAATCACACTAACAAATAAGCTGACGAGCCACAGGCTGCTACCTGCTCACATTAATCATTCACTGAATTACTTTGAATATAATAATAATAATAATAATAATAATAATAATAATAATAATAATAATAATAATAAACAAACATATTCAAATAGAAATATCAAGTTTGCTTGTAAAATAGGATATAGAACCAAACCAAATGTGTTGAACATAAATTGTACCTTTGGATTTAATTCTAATTAGTGGTGAAACAAAGATGCAAGGAAGAACATTTTTCAAAACTGTGCACACATACCAGATACTATCAAATGAAAAATCCCTTTTGAAGAAAGAGATTCTCTATGCTTATCATATGTTGGAGAAGCAGCCCTGTACTTATACTTGCAGACAAGCAAGTCATTCATCTAGAAGCAATCTTCAAACTGTGAGGCATTATCAGGTTGTTCGTTCACTTTGTTTCTTTTGTAGATGAATGAGTTCAGGCTATCTCTGATGTGGTGATGAAATCCTTCTCCATCTGGTTCATGCCTCTTAGCCCCTCAGAGACAAGTTACGCTGCACTGCATCCAGTTATCTCAGGTTAGTCTCAGTTACTCCAACAGCACAGAGGATCAGAAACAAGAGACTTTTGCAAAGCCTCTTCCTGAAATCCACAGCTGTGATGGAGTCTGAGCAGGAAAGAATTACAAAAAACCTTACAACTCACATCCTGTGGGATTTATCCTCTTGCCTAGATATACCTGCACCTCTAGCAGCTTTCCTCTAGCAATGATCTAAAGATTAATAACAGAACTATAAAGCAGGGAAATGCCATGACGAGGAAGAGAGCTTTTCAAATAGCACCTCTCTTCCACTGTAGTCTGTGGTTACGTATGACATCAGTAACGCTGCTTATTATGTGTTAGGCAACATCAAGCACCACTTAGATGCATTACTCATCTATTTATCCAAGTCAAAACCAATGTGAGAAAAAGTGATGTGACATAGGCACTATAGCCTTTTTAACAATACTATTACTGAGGAATTATTAATGACGTACCCTCTGCTGTGTTTGACCTCCAAGCAAGTTGATATTTGTTCTCAAGGTGCATAATCTCGCTGAGTTTGAATATGTGAAACAAGGTAGACTGCTGGAGCTCATACACTTCATTTCAGGATCTGACCTGTATTTTTTCTGGAAGTCTTTTCTCCTGTTGCAGTTGATGGGTATTAGAAGCACACAGCCAGCCCGTCTAAAGTCAGCTGACGGCAGCTGAGACCACTGCATGGAAATCCATGCATCCTAGCTGCCACCCAAGAATCACACTCAAAGTAGCCTAACATATAAACAGAAATTTCTATATTTTATCAAAACACAGTTATTCCAAAATCTTGGACAGTCATGTGTTCAACATGTGGTAGCAGGAGAGGGATGGGACAAGAAATTCCTATAAAAGGAGACTGTCATGTGTTTGTTTAAATCAATGGATCTCCACCACATGGTTTGACTGATGTTCTTCTTGTCGCTTTCTATTTCATTCCACATCACTCACAGCGACAATTCACATTGAATGGCTTTTGGGTTTTTGGCCTTTCTCAAATTCTTTTTTGCTCTCTCTTAAAGAGGATTCTGAACTCAGGAAGGTTGGCATGCAGGACATGCACATGAATCCACCTGACTCGTGCATTAGAAAAGTCACAAATTCTAGAATTAGATAATAAATAAAAACAGCAGAGAAATCATAGACTTCTGTCAATCAGTGATTGAATTTTATCATCATCAGTATTACTGTTCAAGACTACTGCTCATTTGTTGTGATTTTTGCAGTGCTGCATTTCCCTAACCAGGAATTTTTGAAGAAAGAGGAAAGCTCTGTCCAACCTGCTTTGTCTTGTTGATATCACCCTCGGTTGCCTGTCTATCTGCTCCTCCATGGTCACACAGAGCAAACAGTAGACATCAGATCCCAGCTCAGCTTATGCACAGCAGATAGCTGGAGCTCAGTCATGCCTGCGTAAAAGCCTGGCTGCGAAAAAAACAGGGAGAAGGAGACATCGCTGTACCCGAATCATCTTGCACCACTTTGGTGTGTGTGCTGACAGGCAGTAGCTGAGAGGGAAGCTGCGGTTATTGCTATGTTAACAGGTCTCTCCATAAATCCATCATATTAGGGGAGTCCTTATGTGACGTGTGGGAATTAAGATAGGTGGAAAACAGGAAATACACACCAACAATAAAACTGGGTTTTAATCAAAAACACATCTGGTGAAAGAAAGGAATGATTTCAGCTTGAAGAAGTGCGCACAACCCCAAGCTAAGTTTATCGACATGAGCTACAGTAAACTGTAAAGATCAGGTGAAGAAATCTCACTGTGAGAAGATAAAATCCATGTTACAGGATGAACCATAGAAAATCAAATCCTTATTTTTCCAAATAATGATTGCACCCTAATTCTCTTCCACACAAGATCAAAACATAACGATGTTAGTAATAATTTCATTTAATTTGTTCAATATTGCATTGTAAATCTTCTTTTGTGCAAAGAACTTAAAAAACTCCAAAGTCAAGAATGGATTTTTGGAATTAAATATTAGTTCTGAAAGGTAATGACAAGTATTTGTTGAGCTGATTTCACAGCTGTTATTAGCAGGAAAATTCCACTAAATCTGGATTTATACAAGTCATCATAATGAAGCCGTATTAAAACCAGCTATACTTGACTGGGCATTTTTGTGAATCCCAGTTAGTGCCTAACCACAGCTTCAGGAACACGCATATCTCAGCTAATGTAATGACACGTCCTCCACAAATCTAAGGCTATTTCTACACCACCTGGGCTATTTCCAAATAAGCTCATGGGGTATGTTCCAGCACACTGCTGAGCAGGAATGCTACCCTGGCTCTCAGAAATCTACCACCAACTGATCAGAGTAGCTCTTCCCATTATATCCCCTTAGCATCCTTCTCTTCCCTCCTCTGACTGCTGGCCTCATCTTTCCTCAGGAGGCCACCCAGACCTACCCAATCAAGCCACATTTTGAAACTCAAGCATATAGGGAAAATACCTCCACAAAGTAGACTCCTTTGTTAATTTCTGTGCTGTATTAGACATAGGTACTCATTTCTTTGGGGCAGGTTACCAACTGAGAGGCAGACAAATTGTGTTGTAGAAAGTTCATTCTCATATTCAATACCATAATATAACAAAAAAAAAAAAAAAACAACCACCAAAAAACAAAAAACAGCAACAAACAAAACAAAACAAAATTAAAAAAAAAAAAAAAAAAGAAAAAGAAAAAAAAAACACAACAACCAAAAACCCAACAAAAGCAGAGAGGAATGAAAAGGCAAAAAGGAACAGAAGTAATGCGTTAAAGTAATACGGGCTGTGAGTCAGGCAGGTTAATCCATACAGGGATTCTCTGGTCATAAGTCTCCTAAAGTAGTTACTATGGAAAGAGAAGAGTATTGTTCCCAATACCTGAGATAATCACTAATTAAAACAAAATATTTTATGTTTCAGTGAGCCTGTTTTCATAACAAGTCATGCCAATGAATCACACTGAAGGCACTAGACCTTAGCCAGAACCATCTCTTAGTCAGAAAAAAGATGCCTTTTAATGGGGTGAGTTTTCATGATTTCTTTATCGATCAGTCAGCATCTTGAGCTAGTTGATATTCTTCAAAGAATTTGCAAGAACAATGGATATAAATGTTTATCTGTCATATCAAATATCTAAAACCACAGATAGGTTAGGCTAGTCTTCAGGAAACACCATAATAAAATGTTGTCCTGTCAAAAAATGAAAAAAAAAGCCAAACACAAGTTGACATATTTCTTGTCCTGAGACAGTTGTGTGCAGACATCTCTAAGTCCATAGTTTTATCTGAGTATCTATGCTTGAGACCACCATTGTAAAACACTGGAGAATTTAAAGTGGAAATTTTAAAGGTGCAAACTAGCTGTTGCCCTGAGTCTTCCTACTGCCTGATAAAATTCTGAAGGAAACATCGATTTTTTTTTTTTTTCAGACTGTTCCAGCTGTTGGAGTAGACTAAAGAGAAATGCAGAAACACAGCTGGCATGGCATGTCCTACTTGTCAATGACAAGTCAGACCTTCACTTGATTTCAAACAATTAACTCGATTATGCACCCATGAAACATCTGGTTCAAAAGTTGTTAGTTGTTGTTCCAATGTCCATAGTAACAGATATGGACCCTGAAAGAATTAAATTAATGACTCTCTGAAGAGTTATGAGAACGTGTCTTTTCCTCCATGTCAAGACAGATTCTTCCAGGTTTTGTCCATTTCACACTTTAATCTCCCAAAAGACTGAGGGTTAAATGGCTTGTTTCTAATTAAGGAATGGCCATTTTTGTTGAAACAGTATCTTCACAACATTTTGTCTAAGAAAACTAAAAAATATACTTGTCTTCTGAATTATTCACTCCCATCAATTAGGGCTGATATGTTCTGGTTTTCACTGGTCAAGGTCAGCTAGATGACCTGTGTGCTTAACCTTAACCAACCTCTTCCATCTTGCATTGATTTAAATGCTCATCAGTTTCCATTTGTACAATCTAGTGCCTCTTATAGAATCATAGAATATCTCAAGTTAGAAAGGACCCATAAGGATCATCAAGTCCAACTCAGTGCTCCTTTCAGGACTACCTAAAACTAAACCATATGACTGTCATCCAGATGCTCTGTGAACTCTGACAGGCTTGGTGACATGACCACTTTCCTGAGGAGCCTGTTCCAGTGACCTCTTATGAGGGAATGGAAGAAAAGTGCTGACATGAGGTCACTCTATTCAGTCCCTCTATCATTAAAAGGGAATTCCATCAAACACACTGTAAACACCTCTGTTTCAGAAATGGTATTTTTAGAAATTTCCTAAATTCTGTTCAAGAAATAGAAATTTTAGGAATTAGAGAAATGGGTAAGGAAAGACATGGTAGTCAGACCCCAATATTCACTGTGAGGATGATGAGCTGTTGGGCTCTGCTTACCGAGCTGGGACAAAAACTTCAAACTCATCAACTGGAGAATGTTTAGTCTTTCAGTCAGCTCAGGGGAGGTTTCCTGAGTGATGATTCTGGATTGCCTCTCCTGTTTTGGCATAAGCTTTATGCTGAATTCTTTCTTTCTTTCTTTTTGAGGGTTTTTGTTGATAACGCTGGAAGGTCTGTCAAACCTCAGAGCATGGCTCAACTTCAGTAGGTATACAGTTTAGAGAGTAGCGCACACATATTGCAGAATTCTCTAAGGATAATAAAAACAAAAAAAGTTACTAATTTTTAGGTATTCTAACTTG